TGACTTTGGAATATGAGGAATAGGAAGAACACAACGACCCCGACAGAGTCAAGCGTGAGGGTGGGCAGAGCACTGTACCTGAGCGAGGGGCTGAACCCCCTCTTTCCCAGGGGACATCATTTCTAACATGAAAGAGCAGACAAACTGGCTATTCACAGCTCAGTAATTGAAGAAACTTTTTGGAACAATGAACAAAGCAAGGCTGTCACCGCAAGGCAAACAATTGGGAGCGTTTGCTGTCAAAGATGTTATTTGCATTCTAAGCAAAAGCAAGACTTTTGGAGAACTTGAACATCACACATAAATGAGCTGAGTTAACATGTCCAGGACTTGATGCTCGGAGGTGATGCAGAGACCAGCATCATGAAGTGATGTAACAGTGTGAAGAGTCTGGTGTGGACGCGTTCAGTGTCTATATTGCAGTTAAACTTCAAGAAACTACCACTTGTCTGAGTTTTTATGTGTCAAAGGAGGGGATGATCACAAGGACCTGGAAAGGCGATTCAAACACTCCACCCTCCTCCAATTAAGTAGCCGCTGTGCTCCAGTCCTGCGGGGCTCGCTTTCCCCTTGTAGACTTCAAACAAAGGGACGCCTTGCAGCAAGTCCGTGTGTCCAGGTGTGCTCTATAAAAAGCACCTCTATAAAGGTGGACATGAAAGAAATGGGCCCAAGTAGACAGCGCTGTTTCTCTTCTCACTATTATTATTTATGTCATTGCTTCTTTAATTTTAAAATTAATCATTTTATTTTTTAAATTTTTATTTATTTTTGCATAGAAGAACTGGGGTGTAGGCCAGAACTGGGGGGGGGGACTGAGAGGATTCACCAGAGACAGAGTGGGGAGCAGAACAGGCAGATCCACTGAAAAACATTGCTGAGGGGAGCAGTGGGCGAGACAGGAGAGGTCTGCTGCGCCATGTGGGCAGCTTCCTGGCCGGGGATTGAACTGAGACTTAACCCCTAGGCCACTAGGAAGGCCCAAAATTAATCATTTAAAAAATAACGGATTTATTGAGCTATAACACACGCCAATGAATCCATCCTTTTGAAGTGTGCAATTCAGTGGTCTTTAATATATTCAGAGTGGTGTGGTCATCTGCACTATCTAGTTCTAGAATGTTTTCAATTCCATGTGGGGGCCCACACGAGGAAACTTAGAAATACACATGGCTTCAACGTGCATGTTTAGAGGTATGCATTAGAGTGTGTGTGTGTGTGTTATATACACACACGTTGTTTAAACAAAGACATTCATTTTCCCGCAGTTCTGGAGGCTGGAAGACCAAGATCGAAACGCCATCAGGGCGTTTTTTCCAACAGTACTTTTAAAGGTCAAAACCTTTTCCCTCCACAACAAGCCAATGACCAAGCAGAGTCCTGAGACTGGGCCTTCCCCAGCTGGCGGTGTGAAGGCAGCCATGCCGGGAGCAGCCTCTGGTGCTGCTCTCTTGGGAGGGCTTCCCCTTTCTAGAATTTCAGCCATTCTGACTTCTGTGGGAGGCAGGTAAGCTCTTCCCAGAGGCCCAGAGAGCTCCGTCAGCTGATCTGGCCTGAAGGCCACACCTGCTTGTCCAGACTCCACAGAACTGAGATAAACTCGGTCCTACAGGGATTTTCCAAGGGAGGCGGGAAGTTGTGTTTCCAAAGATGGCCACAGGCGTGTAGATGCGAATCCCACGCTGCCAGGCAGGTAACGGGGTGGCTCCTGCAGCGGGAGTAGAGACCCGTCCTCTCCCCTTAGGGACTGCTCCGGTCAGTGGATCTGTCTGTCCGCTTGGCTACCGAGCCCACTTCATCAAAGGCAGAACTGTTTCTCCCTGGCTCTCCCCTTGCTCTTGCAACCCAGCGACTATTCTTGGGAAGCTCAGCCCTGTGAGCAGGTCAGGTGTAGGCCTCCCAGCCAAAGGCCCCCAGGAAAGGCCAAGCAGCAGCAGCAGGAAGCCCTCAGGCTTGGAGCTGCCCCTGCTGACCCCAGGGCTCAGAAAGAGATTTCCCCAGACTTTCTGCCCAAATTGCAGATTTGTGAGTAAAGCAAATGTTTGGAGCCACTAGGCTGGGGCACAGCTTGTTATACAGCAGTGAACTCTTGGGGTTAAACACCCATCAGATTGTCCTTATGAGAAGTGGACCTGTCTTTTTGTTTTGTTTTTTTTTGAAGATTTATTTATGCATATAAGAACTGGGGTACAGGCCGGAGTGTGGGGGTGAGAGGATTCACCAGAGACAGAGTGGGGAGCAGAACAGGCAGACTGGCTGAAATCCACTGCTGAGGGGAGCAGCGGGGAGACAGGAGAGGTCTGCTGCGCCATGTGGGTCAGCTCCCTGGCTGGGGATTGAACTTATGCTGCAGTGGCTGATGATAGCTTGATAGCGCTCTGTCTTTAACCCCTGCACCACCAGGGAGGCTCCCGGACCTTTCTTTAGAGGAAAGTTAGTGAAATAAATGAGCTCAGGGGTTGGAGGTGAAATCAGCTGCTCAGTAGCTAGATGCGTTCTTATACTTTTCCATTTAAACTAACATTTTCTGATTTTTTATTATCATTTCATATAACCATAGCAGGCTAACAAAGGAGAAGATTTAAAAAGAGAATGAAAATGATCTGAATCTTAGCATTTACAACAGTTAATGATTTAGTTCCTTCTCCTTGAGTCTTTTTCTTCCCTACACATAGAAATCTGTTTTACAAAACGCGGGTCATGCTTCACGATGGTGTCGCTCTTGGCCCTCATGCGGCCACCCTGTCTGGCGCTGTTTGTTAGGCCCCCAGCTGGACCCTGGTGGGGGGAGATGGGCAGCAAGGCATTTCGAGCTGTGGTTGTGACCACCTCAGGTCACTCAATGAGAGCTCATGCTAAGTGTTCCTACCCCAAAACCCCAAAATAAAACCTAGAGGCACACAAGGAAACTTTGGGAGGTGGTAGGTCACTAGTTAGTACCCTGATTGTGGTGATGATGTGGGATTTGCACAGGTCTAAACCCATCAAATGGATGCTAAAACATGCAGTTTTTTTCTTTATCAGTTATACTTCAGCAATGCTGTAAAAAAAACCCCTTCACTTGAAACACAAAGGAATATACATGCATTCAGCATCTACTCAAACAAGAATGCAACGTCATGTTCATAAGGAAAAGAAAAGGAAGAGCTACTAGATTGTCTAAATGTAGAATGTAAAATGATCATTGACATTTTTTATTACCTCCTCACACATAGTTTTTGTTGATGGAGACTACTGAGAATGTAAACTTCTTGTGTGTGAACTATGTCGCGTAAAGTGCTCAAAACAGAAGTGACAAGCTAACCCACTGATGGGCCCCCCTGGTGGCGCAGGGGTTAAAGTCTCAGCGCTATCAAGCTATCCCCAGCCACTGGGGCCTGAGTTCGAGTCCAGGCCAGGGAGCTACCCACACGGCACAGCAGACCTCTCTTGTCTCTCCGCTGCTCCCCTCAACAATGGATTTCAGTAGAACCACCTATTCTGCTCCCCACTCTGTCTCTGGTGAACCCTTTCACTCCCTGCACCTCTGGCCTACACCCCAGTTCTTGTATGCATAAATAAAAATAAGTCTTTAATAAAAAATTTTTCATTTATATTTTTTAGTTTTTTTCTTAGTTTTATCATTTCTTGTTTCGCTTTGTCATTTTTTAAATGAACGGTCATTTCAAGCATAAAACCTGGTATTTTAAACTGCTTTTTCAGGCCCAAATCAAATGACTTAGTACCAAATTGATTTGATATCTTTATTTTTTTAAAGATTTATTTATTTATGCATACAAGAGTTGGGACACAGGCCAGAGATGGGGCGAGGGAGTGTGGGAGAGGATTCACCAGAGACAGAGTGGGGAGCAGAACAGGCAGACTGACTGAAATCCACTGTTGAGGGGAGCAGCGGGCGAGACAGGAGAGGTCTGCTGCGCCATGTGGGTAGCTCCCTGGCTGGCTGGGGATGGAACTCGTGCCGCAGAGCCTGCAGACAGCCTCATAGTGCGCTGCTTAACCCCTTGCTCCACCAGGGAGGGCTTGGTGCCCCAGGCAGGCATGCCACAGGCTGGGCCCCGGCTCCGGAGCGGGGTCACCAGCCCGGGGCGGTCAGAGCAGAACCGGCCCGGTTGGCCACTGGGGCGAACCGGTGTTTACAAGATTCTTGTCAAGGCTTGGCTGATGTAACTGCCCTCAGCATCAGCTCCTCGGGGAGAAAGACTGTTTTTGTTTTCACCCTCCTCTTAAAAATGCTGATGTGTTTTATTTTTAAGCTCCCCGCCTCCACCGCGTTTCAAGAAGAAGTGGCAGGTCTGAAGCTGCGGGTCTCGAACCGCCGCCCGGGTTTGTCTGCGCCCGCCGTCCCCTGTTTGCTTGTCTGTCTTTAGCCTCTTGAGCATGTTTGGAAACATTTCTTTTCCCTGAGTATTTGAACAGTCTCAACCCGCCCACCCCGCCCAGCCCTCCCTGACCGTCTCCCTGACCCTGTCTCGCCCCCAGACCTCGCGACCTTGGGGTGCTCATCCCCCGCGGTGGGGTGCGAGGGGGTCCCCGGGGAGGCCGGGCGGCGCCCACCCCAGCCTGTCCCGGCCGCGAGCGCCTCCAGTCGGGCCTCTTCTGGGGGAGCGAGAAAGGAACCATCAACGGTCTTGAAACTGCCCCCTCCGCTGCGCCGCTGCCCCCGGGCACCCCGGAGTCCCGGGGCTCCCCGAGCGCGGTGCGAGCTCGGCGTGGTTCGGGGGCGGCCGCGCCCAGGGCGGAGGAGCGGCGGGCGGCGGGCGGGAGCCGGGCGGGGCCGGGGGCTGCGGAGACACCTGCGGCCGCGGCCCGGGGCGGTGCCGGCTCCCGGCGCCTCCTTAAAGCCGCGGCGCGGCCCCGCCTCCCCCCGCCGGCCCGGGGTCCTGCCAACCGCCGCCGCGGCCGCCCGCGGAGCCTCCCCGAGCCGCGAGCCCGCCCGGAGCGCGCCCCGCGTCGGTGCCGGTGCCGGTGCCGTCCCGTCCCGCCGCCGCCCCGCCGCCATGGCCAGCGAGGAGCTGGCGCGCAAGCTGCAGCGGCGCCTGCAGTGGGAGGGCGCGGGGGACGGCGGCCCCCCGCCGCCCCCGGGAGCCCGAGCCCGCGCCCCGGGAGCCCGAGCCCGCGCCCCGGGAGCCCGCGCCGCAGCCGCCCCCCCGGGCGCCCCCGCCCGCGCCGACGCCGAGCTGAGCGCGCAGCTGAGCCGCCGCCTGGACATCAACGAGGGCGCCGCGCGGCCCCGCCGCTGCAGGGTCTTCAACCCCTACACCGAGTTCCCCGAGTTCAGCCGCCGCCTCATCAAGGACCTGGAGGGCATGTTCAAACTGTGAGCGCCCCGCGCCCCCCCCGCGCCCCGCCCCCGCGCCCCGCGCCATCCCGCGCCGCGCCCCCCCGCGCCCCGCGCCCCGCGCCGCCCCGCGCCCCGCGCCGCCCCGCGCCCGCGCCATCCCGCGCCCCGGCCCGGCCCGGGGAGGCGGGAGGCGGCGGCTCGGTCCTCCCGCCCGGAGTCCCCGACCCCGCCTCGGTGCGCTGCGACGGGAGGGTGCAGAGTTTCGGGGGTGCATTTTGCATGTGTCCCAGCGCCCCCCTATTCTTTCTGTGCGTGCGGAATCTATCTCCGACGTGGGGGGACCCGGCCGGGCTCGTAGACCAGGAGCCGGAGCCGCAGCTCTGGCACCCCGAGCTCAAAGGACACCCCGGGCGCCCCGCGCCGACGCCCCGAGTGCCGGCGCCGCCCTTTCTGCCCGCGCGTCCCGGGGTTCGCTCCGCGCGCAACTTCCAGGAAAGCCAGAGGCGCGCGCCCCACCTGCCGGCGTCCCTCCCTCTCCCCGGGGAGCAGCGGGCCCGAGGCCTCTTGTCTCCTCAAACAGAAAGAGGAAACTCGGCGGGCGCGGGGCAGCGGTGCCAGGCCTGGCCGCGAGCTGGAGTTCGTCAAACTCGGGGCAGAAGGTCTGGAGGTGTCTGGCCCCGGAGTCTGCGGGGACGTCGCCCTGTCGGTTTCCCCCCTCGCTGCCTTTGGGCCGGAGGCGCCCCTCGGAACCGGACGCGGCAGCTGGCGCGGGTCCCGCGGGGCTCACTCCGGCCCCGCCGCGCAAGACCCCCGGGCCGGAGCCGCGCGCGCCCACCCCGGGCGGCCGGGCGGGAGGGCGGAGCGGCCGGCTCGCTGGCCCTGCAGCCCGGAGCTCCCTGGGCCTCAGTTTCCTCATCTGGAGCGTGAGGGCAGCCCTGCATCCTGCCTTTTAAGGCCATACTGCATTTTGCGCACCGTGAGCTTTCGGCCGAGCTATTAATATTATACCCAGAATTGGACCAAGACCGGGAAAATGCCCGGGGGGCGGAGGCTGCTGGCCAGGTCATGCTTGGGGCGCTTTAAAAAGCGCCCGGAATGTGCTTGTCCTCCGGCGGGAGCTGCTATTTAAGGCGCGGTGCCTGGGCCGTCCAGCCCCAGCCCCTGGCGGGGGTCCGCGGAGGCTGCGCCGGCGCGCTCCGCACCTGCTTTACTTCCCTGATGCTAATTTTCGGTTCTGGGACCCCAGATCCTGGGTCCTCACACCTGGTGGGTCTAGTTTGGTCGACGAAGGAAGGCTGAGCAGGGGCGAAGGCGTGAGCCTGGGGTCCGCGCTCCCGCGTTGAATCAAGGGGGCCCTGGCCCTGCTGTGTGAGCTCAGTCCTGCCCCGCCCAGAGGGCATCTTGAGGACCTTCATGTTCAGGCTGCTTTGTGTGAATTGGTGGGTTTTTTAATAGAGTTTTTTCCCTGCAAAAAAAATCTTTACATGGCTATGCTTGTTTGTTGCTGCCTAAGAGCTAAAACAGGGAGTCTACGCAGTCTTGGGAGACCAAGCAAGGTGTGGTGGCCTCAGAGAGTAAGCGAATGGCATTGTGTGGTCTGGGGTCCCCACAGAGCTGGCAGGGGAGACTGAACCTGCTGCTTTTCCTTCCAGAGCTACTGCGTCATGTAGAATTCTAGGTTGGGTTTCTAGCACTTTCAATCATAATTGGTATAAACAAGAAGGCAATTCATTGACTCGTGGAACTGAAAAATCAGTTTGGCGTCAGGTACAGCTGGATCCAGGTGCTCTCTCTTTTTTCCTTAAACGAGGCTCCTGTGTGTCTCCAGGTGACTTATCCCTGCTGGTGGCCCTGGCTTCTCCAGTTAGTCCATTGGGGAAGGATAACCGTAGCAAAGACCTTTCTCTCTCCCTCACACCTCTAGTGTTGTTTCTTACTAGCTGTGAACCAATTGCTACGACCAGGGGAGTCGGGTGTCTGCATTGGCCAGGCCTGAGCTCTGTGTCCCTGTGGTGAGGAGTGTAGCCCTCCAGTGGCAGGAGAAGGATGGCCTTCCCCTGGTCAATGTAGGGGTCTTGAGGGGAAAGGACATGTGCTGGAACATGTGTGTGACCTTCACTGCCCTCTCTTGGCCCCTGGGTGTGGGCTGGTTCAGGCTTGCGACTTGGTCACCTTTGACCATGAGTGTCCTGAGGCAAGACTGGCAGTTCTGTCATCAGGGAGTGAGATCTGAGGAACAACTTGTTACAAAAGAACCTTCCTGGGGAATGTCCCCTGTGTCCTAGAAGCTTCTGCTCCCTTGGAGTCAGCTGAGCTATAGTCTGAGGCACCTGCCTGGCAGAGGGGACATGCCTGCCTTTAGATCCGCACGCCCAGGACCTGTGAACCTGGGCAGGCTGCTCATCCCTCTCAGGCTTAATTTCCCCACTGCTAAAATGGGCACAGCACCACCTTCTGGTGAGGCAGGGACCACTGGCGGAGGCTGCCCTTCTCTCCCCACAGTGGTTTGGAAGGCCCCCTTAAACCTGCTGTCAAGACCCATTATCCATCAGGGTCTGGGGCATGGTGGGGACATAGCCCATCATTTGAGTTCTTAGCAGTGGCCATGGGCAACTTGCTTAACCACACCCACCTTTTTATCTATAAAATGGGGGCAACAGTTTCTTTCAGGGAGGTTTGTGAGAACCCAGTGAGCTGAATGGGTGACAGGTGTTGAGTGGGCATGTGACAGAGAGCAGGGACCTCTTGCCAGTGACATCCATGCTCTGGCTCCAGGCCGCGTGTCCATGTCCAGAGCCCTCCCGCCCTGCGCTGCCATCAGGCTCCCCACGCCCTGTGAAACAGGATTCTTGGCCTGACCCCCGAGTCCCACACGCTCTGAGTCTGCCAGCTGAGCTCGCTGTTTTCCCTTCAAGTGCTTTCTGCCCAGTTTCCTGTGCCCAGGAGGCAGCTAGGCCAGGCCCACCCACTGCCGCCCCAGGCTGCGGGAACTGCCTTCCTGCCACCACCAGCTCCTCCCTGCTGGCCCGCTGGCTCTGGGAACTTTTCTGCCTGAGCCTATCAGCCCAGGCTGGGGGCAGACACCCAGGCCGGGGCAAGCGTGGGCCCCTCACCTGGAAGGTTGCCCTGGGGATTTGCCACCTGCTCTGACCAGGCGGTGCCTTCTCTCTGCTCTCTGCCCTCTGCCGCCAGCTGACGGCCCTTTGGTCTGGCCTAGCTCCACAACCCAGCCCAGAATCTGGCCCTCTCCTTGGTGTTCCACATGACTTAAAAAAAAACAACTGGACTGCTCACCCCCACCCCCCTGCCTCTCCCCCTACTGCTGTTGACTCTTATCTGAGAGGCCTGGGCCACTCCCTGAGGGCTGGCAGGGAAACCCCTTGGTGGGGGACTTCCAGAAACTATGCTGCCTGGAGGAGCCCATGCTCCAGACCCCTCCCCGACTTCTCTCCCTGCCTGCGTGGCTGGGCAGCGCCCCAGCAGGAGCCCGCTGTCCCTATGCTTCGGCCCCCCGCTGAAGCTTGGCCTGCTGCCTTTTTCTCCTTTGGTTGCTCTGTTTAAAGAAATGAAAACCATGAAGAAGTAAAAAATGCCAAACACATAGAGAACACACTTGTTTTCCCTTGAATGACTGTCCCGATTCTGTCCGGCTTTCACAGGGCTGTGAGGCCGAGCATGAGGCGTGAGGCTGGGTTCCTGGGCTCCGCACTGTCCCTCCTGCTGGCTTCCCCCCCACCGCCCCCCCACATTGGGCAGGTTATATAAAAGTGCCGTTCTCAGTTTCCCTGGTGTCCAGTGGAGGCAGAACAGTACCTGCCCTGTGGGGTTAAATCCATCAAGGATGTAAAGCAGGTGCTGCCCGCTTGGCGCCGGCTGAGGGCCTGGCAGGCTTGCACCACTGACCTGCAGCTGAATGCAAAGCCGACATCTGGGTACAGATTTCATGTTGTACTTTTTCCTTTATTTTTTAAAGATTTATTTTATTTATTTATGCATATAAGAGCTGGGGCATAGGCCCAGCTGGCGAGAGGATTCACCAGAGACAGAGTGGGGAGCAGAACAGGAAGACTGACTAAAACACACTGTTGAGGGGAACAGCGGGGAGACAGGAGAGGTCTGCTGCGCCACGTGGGTCAGGCCCCCTGGCTGGGCATCGAACTCGTGCTGCAGGGGTTGCCGATAGCTTCATAGTGCTGAAACTTAACCCAGGAGGCCCCTGTGCTTTTTCCTTTAACAATTCACTCGTGCTCTGCCATGTCCAGCCTGTCCTTTGAAGGTGATTTCATCTGCAGTGTGGAGTGGGACTGGGACCTGGGTGAGGTCCCAGTCCTGGACCTGGGGAGTCGGCACCCTCAGACTCTGCCTGGCCCCTGCCCTTGAGCATTATATTGAGGGAACTTTCTGGGCCCACTGCTGGGAAGGCCCTGAGTGACCATGGTCTACTCTAACCAAGCACCATGGTGTGGTGGCTTCAAACGACAGAAATCTCCTCTCTCGCCTTTCTGGACGCTGGGGTCTGCAGGCGTACCCAGGGTCGCCCTGCTCCACAGGCTTCCGGGGGCCCTTCCCTGCCCATCCAGGCTTCTGGTGCTGGCCAGCCAGTGCTGGCTTCCTGATGTTGCTCTAATCTCTGCCCCCAGAGTCACATGGTGTGTGTGTGTGTGTGTGTGTGTGTGTGTGTTTTCAAGTGGCCTTCTTATAGAATGAAGCCATAGGACTTACTTAGGACCTAATTCAGTATGACTTCATCTTCATTTAGGACATCTGCAAAAGACCCTCTTTCCAAATAAGGTCACATTCAGAGGTTCTGAGTGGCTGTGAATTTGGGGGGACGTAGTCAGTCCAGTGCAGCAAGGAGAGCTGGCCAGTTGTGGCCCTGCGGGACTCTCCTGCTGACCTCCTGAGCTGGGGGGTGGGAGGTGGGGAGACCCTTTCCAGGAGGCCCTCAGATCAAGGAGTGACCCAGTGGAGACTTAATCAAAGTCAGCATGGCCCCACTCCGCCAGAAACGTGCTCAGCCTCCCCAAAACCCAGTT